TTCTAAGAAGATTCTGAAAGCCTTTAGAAAAAAGTAAGGCCTTTCTCTTTTTTGACTTATTCTTTGCAATTCTCTGATTACTATGTTTACATGGAAACAGGATTTTTTTTTTTTCTTTAAGAACCAAACCACAGCCCATGTACATTTCCTCAGGGGAGTTTCATAAAACTGTTTGTCAAGAAATGATGACTGTTTTTAATTTGGACTTTCTGAAGCTGACCAGAAGAAACCACTCCTTCCCTGAGAGACAAATCAGGAGTGATGGTCTAATCTAGTTATAGTCAGTGGATAAATGGACAAAGGCTTTACTGGGGGCAACATAGTTATTGGTGCCCATATTTCAGGCACAAAGGGCAGTGAGAGCTATTACCTCTCTGATCCATTCTGGAGACTCTTCCCTGTGCCGTAGGCCCTAGAACAGATTCTGATTACAAAACCTGTGCCAAAAAACTTTTTACGAACTTTTTGTTGCCTGGAATATGATTTCAAGGTTGGATGTGTGTAGATGTCAGTGGGAACTGTCTGTGCTTGGCTTTGGATATGAATGTGAACTAAAAAGAGAATTTCCATGAAGGATCTAGGGATACAGCAAAGGAGAAACAATGGCTGTATGCTTGTGAATAAGTGGGTCTCAAGCTGGATTTCTATGATATATGGTTAATGTAGGGTAAGGGAGTGTAGAGGCATGCATTTATTTATACTCAAGATAGTCCAACATGAAGGTATCTTGGGATTATAGATTAAGTGTAGAAAAAGGCATGTTCTGGAGAGGATAAGTATGAAGCACTGCATCTGAGTGCGGAAGAGTGTCTTTAGTTTAGCATACTTATGTAAATACTTAGGGATAGACAGGCTGGTGGGAGGGGGAATGTTCTCACAACTTATATTCTCTGCTAGTCATATTTGGTTTGTGTGTATATATATATATATATATATATATATATATAACACACATATATCCTCACTTAGAGTGCTTTACCAAATACTAGAATTCCAGCTAGAATTAATTGTTAGCAGCCTGCCCTCTGTTAGAGCTAATGGGTTGCAGGTATTGATTTTTTTTCTATTTCTATTGATTAGGAGGCTGCTGTACATACTAGCCTTAGCATAGCATGGAAAGAGAAAGGGAGGCAAAACAGTTCACATCGCAGCAACTCATCATGGTGGAAAATTCATCCTGGGTATCTCAGTCTTCTCCAACTATCTCTTCTGAGTGGAGAAGGAAGGCATTCCTGTTTGCAGAAATCAACTCTCAGGGCTCATGAGAGACACTTTTTGTTTCCCAACCATCTTCAAATATACCACTCAATGGAAGAAAAGTTGTGTAAGAAAAAGGGAAAAAGGAGTCTCACATGGAAAGCACAGGAGTTGTATCTTCAAGACTCAATCTGAAACACTTATCTTGGGTACCCATAGGCACCCAGATCATTCATAACAGCACCCAGATCCCACTAAAATCAGCACAAACGCTTTCACTTTGGTGGGCTTTATGAACAAGTTCTGGATTTTTCAGTGTCTCTGCAAACTAATGAACATGTTACTTTTTAGGAGTGTTGCGAGGCTAAATGAACCATTTGTACAAGATTTAGCTTGGAAGAGGACATAAGTGGGAAATTGAGGGACTTCTGTATGGCAGCATTAGAATCTCATACTTGGTGCCTGCCAGAGTCCACTCCTGTCTATCACAAGAGTTGTTTTACTCTACTCCCAGGGTAGAACCCACACCCATTTTGCATGGAAATCTGCTCATTTTAATTGATAGACCTCCATATCCTGTATCTCCCTTCTTCTTTAATTTCTGGTCAAAGGGTTACTCTAGAGATGACTTTGCTGTAGTATTGATTGTCTGATGTTTAAACTGTGTTGTTGATCTTCAACAGAAGATGCCCAGTGAGGCTTTTTCCATCTGCATTTATCTTCCTATGTCTATCATCTCCATCTCTAGCTCCTTCACCTGCAATTCTCTGGCAAAACCCACAAATCTTCTTTCCTTGGCTTTCGAGTTTGTTGAACTGGTCTAAGAAAACCACCAGCATGCAGATATGATGTGAATAATATTTCTTAAGTGTTTTTGGAGCCTCTGCTTTGGATGTCAGTGATGACTGCTCTGATCACCCCATCTGCTTTTCTAACAGTACAGATACATGACTTTTTTCTTCTCCAATAGAATATCTTACATTTTAATTCTCTTTATACACCATATCTCTTTTCTCTCTTCTCAGCCCCATTGGCTTCCAGTTCTGTGATCATAACCCTAACCCCACTTGTTTTTCCTAACATCTCCTCTGCTGGTGCATTTCCCTATTAACACCTCTGCTCTGCCTGCAAATGCAGTTGCACCAACTCTATCTCTTTTGCAGCTCATTACAGCAGCTCCTTCTCAGCTGGCCTCCCCAGGATGAAGATTCCTAGATTCATTTTTTATACACTATTGCTGTTTGATTTTATCCGATGTTCCAAAGAGCTCCACTGCAGCACTCAATCCACAAACACTATTCAGTCTCATTACCATCCCGTGGAGTTGCTTCCGACTTTGTGCCCTTCATCTCGCTTCCTGCATCTTTCTCATGCCCCTTTTTTTCCTACAGCACTGCCCCTTCTCTCCACAAATAGCAGCACTCTTGGTTTGCCATTGGAAGCAGACTTCCTGTGGCTCCCTGTCTCATCAGCTTCTCATTTCAAGTAATTTAAAATGTAATTTAAAATCTCTCTATTTCCTCCAGACTATTAATTTCTCTCTCCTTACTCTTCTACAGATGTCATTCTGTGTTACACTTTTCAGAAGATGCAACTGTTGTAAAAATCGGCCACAGTGGTTTTACTCTGTATTCTTGTTTTGTATTATAATTTTTAATTATTCTTTGTAGGAAAAACCAAATCTCAGCACAGCATCTAACCACGGCACAAGCAGTCACACAGGACAGTCTGGCATTTGCATTGCCTTTGTTCCATTCTTCTCCTGTGGCATTTAGAACTCTGGAGGGATTATTGTGAATGGTCTAAGAGTATATATAAGTAGGGTAGCAGGAAGAGAATTATTTCTGGAAATTGAGAAGTGTGAAGCAGGAAGCCATGTTTAGTTCTGATCCTGAGATGCGCTGAGCTCTCATAGGTCTGACTGCTCTTAACCAGAGATTATAGAAATTGCTACCCTGCAAATGTGTCCTTCTTACACTGGCAATTTCTTTGGGGAGAACATGCCCTTCTCTTGATGTAATTCACTATTTGAGAGTACAGAGTAACTGAGGAGCCAACCTTCCTTGGAAGTATGAGGTCCAGATTTCCAGAGCAGTTTCTTGTCCACACATGAGATGTTTGTGCCTGATGGATTTAACTGCAAGAATAGCCAAATTAAGATTTTTCTTCTTCAGAATATTTCATACTCCTGGCCCGGACTTTCTATCTTTCTTTGAAGAATGAGAGGATTTGAATATTGGGGTGGGGTTGGAAAAGAACAACCACTAGCCAAAAACAAAATGCTCAGAGCCCCAAGAATTATTTATTCTTCCCTTATGCCTTCCTCTTCAAGGCCACTTCCTTCTTTCAGGAGATATATAAGGGGAGGAGAGGTCCTTGTGTGGTCTTCCCTAGCTTTCCAAGCTAAGAGCCTCATGGAGACTCCTCAACACAGGCCGTCCCTGTAGAGCCATAATCTCCCACCAGCTTAGGGGTCTCCTCCACATCCCTCTGCCTCTCAAATTCCTTTGCAACAAGGACAACAGTTCAGAGAGCCTGTCCACTAACTACCATCTCCACATTCTTGCAGCAGACAAGTACTAAAAGTCCAAACTACAATATGCACCTGCCCCCTTGTTCATCCCCAGCTGTTCAGCAGCTCCAGGGTACAGAAAGAGCCCCCCCCCCCCCAGCTCCAGTGGGAGAGGGCAAGGCTAGAATTCCCCCAGATGAACTAGGTACAGTGTTTGTCCACAAAGAATATTTCAGTGATCGCAGCCTGCACTGTCTTCTACGACCTTTCCCTTTTTCTGCCTTCCCTGGGGCCTCTTCTGCCTGTTGGTGGTGATTTACATATGGCTGATGCTGGACACTATGAGTGCTTGCTGACCTCTACCTCGGTCTCAGCTGTGAGGGCTGCCTGGATTGTGCCCTCCAAATTGGGGAAATGATCAAGGGTCTGTAGAGCAGCCGGTGGCCCCTGATTGCTTGCTATAGAGCCCTTCATGTCCGTGAGTCCTGGGACAGATTGTCCTGGAAGGGCAGTCCCAGTCTGCACCCAGAGAGGGAGTAGGGAGAAGAGGTAACTGGAATTATGAAATTGCAGCATGGCTGAAGCTCTCCAACTGGTTCAACTTCCCAGCACCCCCTTCCCCTAGCGCTGCTCCCCCGCATAGAGCAGCAGTGAACCTAAAGCAGATCTTCTGGTCTAATTTTTCACTGAACAATGAATCTGATCAGAGAGAAACAAAATCGGTAGCATCAAGAATTAGATTATTTCTTTTTTTTCTGATTGTTGCATTAATGAGCAGCTACATGTATAGAACCAGGAGGTGACTAATGTAATTAACCTGGTGTAATGATACTGCTGAGGAAGAGAGGATTATGACATACTTAGATGTCAGTATTGCACAATTTTGTATGTGTTCCCTGTACTATTCGGTTGTGTCTGACACAGAAAACTTAAGCAGTGATAGATTTCAGTCTGCATCCATTCAGCTCATGCATCTTTCTGTGTAAAATGAGGATGTGAAAGGTGGATTGCTTTCCCAGGGTTGAGGGGGTGGAGGTATTCAATTTTGGTGGTGTCTTTCCTTAACAAAATTATACTAATTATCATAAACCGTCCTTTCTCATGAAGAATCTTCCCAAAATGTCTGCTTCTTGAAGCAGGCGTTGGGATTTCAGTGAAATCCCCAAAGACAAAGTAAGAACATGGGGATCTACACAACACTGGTCAGGGGGAGGCACAGGGACGGAAAACGAGCAATACCAAGACATATGCAACTTGCAGCAAACCCGAGAAGAGTGAAGAGCAAGCACTTAAAAATCATAACAACAGCAATAAGAGCAGAAATACATGCTTATTTTTAAATTACCCTTCCACGTTACATTTCACCCGCCTCCTGGGGAGACAAGCGGATGACTGAAGTTTTGTGCGGGTCTAAACTGCGGTGTGAGGGTCGCACTCGCAGCTCCGGGTACCTACGGCGGAGATGCGAAGGAAGCTGAGCTGGGGGGCGGCGGTGGAGGGGGAAAGGCGGTAAGCGAGGGAGAGCCCCAGCGCCGTCTTCCCCTGGGCTCCGCGGCGGCCGCGGGGAAGCGACCCTTGCCAGTGCCGGCAGCGGCGGGCGAGGCGCAGGGCGGGGGAAGGCTGCCCCCCCGCCCCTCGCTGCCTGCTGCTGCCTGTGCCTGCCCGCGCAGAGCGGAGCGGGGCGGAGGAGGAGGGAGGCTGCCGCCCGCGGATGCTGGGGCGCGGGCGGCGCGGGCAGGGCGGGCGGCGCGGGCAGGGAGCTGTCCTTCAGCACCGCGGGCCGCGGAGCGCTCCGCCCGCACCGCCGCCCGGGGAGCTGTCCTGCAGCACCGGCGGCCCGGGAGCGCTCCGCCCGCCCCGCCGCCCGGGGAGCTGTCCTGCAGCACCGCCGGCCGGCGCCGACACCAACACCGCCGCCGCCGCCGCCGCCGCCGCCGCCGCCGCCGCGGGGGAGCCGTCCAGCGCCGCGCCGCCAACGCCGCCGCCGCCGCCGGCTTGATGCAGTAGCGGGGCCCGGGAGTCGCCGGGGGCTGCCGCGGAGCAGGGGGTGCCGCAGCCGGGCTCCGCTCCGCGCCCTCCGCCCGAGAGGGGCGCCGCGCCTGTCCCCCTCCTCCCCCTCCCCAACCCCCCCTTCCAGGAGCCCCCCTCTCTCCTCGCCCACCTCCGCCGGGAGCGAGCGCCGCGGCTGTGCGGAAAAGCCATGGGAGGCAAGACCTCGGCACCTGTTCAGCTGAAATCAAGGGCTTACAGTATACTGGGCACTCCGGCTTGGTGATAGGAGCGAGCAAAAGGAAGGAGAAGCAAGCGAGAAAAAGTGAGAGAGGATTGGAGCGACTGCCGCTGCCGGGAAAAAAAAAAATAAAAACCCAAGGAAGATAACTGGGAAGGAAAAGGATTTTCATGGCGCAGGCTGCAGAGCTAAGCAAGAAGACTGAAGGTTGCATCTCTGCTCTTACAGTCTCTAACTGTCTAGGTCCAGATAATGAGAGATTGTGTTGAGGATGCTGCTGCTGCTCCCCTGTTCACTGTGGAAGCCATCTCCAAATTAGCCATTACATATGGAAACTGGAGACCAGAATTTTAGAAAAAGGGATTAAGGCGTCTCATTTTGGGGGGGTTCTCTCTTTATTTGTTTGGTTTTTCTTGGTTCTTTTCTCTCTTCTTTTTTTCTTTTTCCTTTTTCCTTTTTTTATATTTCAACCAGAACGTTTCCGATTTAAAAGGCAAGCCTCTTCCCGTGTGGTCTTTCTAATTTACACTCTTTTCCGTGGGCTTTCTTACCTCCCTTTTTTGATATCTATCTCTCTCTCTATACCCATTATATTATTAGTCGGAATTATTATTCTTTTATTTTATTAAACACACACACCCCAAGAATCAGAAGGCGGTTGGGTATTTGTATAATGAAGAATTATGGGGCTCTTTGACAGAGGTGTTCAGATGCTTTTAACCACCGTTGGTGCTTTCGCTGCCTTCAGCCTGATGACCATAGCTGTGGGGACCGACTACTGGCTTTACTCCAGAGGGGTTTGCAAGACTAAAACTGTCAGTGAGAACGAAACCAGCAAAAAGAACGAAGAAGTCATGACCCATTCTGGATTATGGAGAACCTGCTGCCTAGAAGGTATTTGATTGTGGACCTCCACCCCACCCCCCCTTCCTCTCCCACCACCCCACGTTTTTTCCTCCTCCCCCCAATAAATCCCTCCACATTCCACCATTTTCTCACTTCATTCCTTTTGCGGTGGATTGAGACTGGTGGGCTCAGTTACTCAGAGCACAGAGGCCAGAAGACGGGCAAAAGATTCACTGTTCTGTTCCCTTCTCCTTCTTCTTTCCCACCCTCCCCGCTCCCACCTTCTCCAAAAATTCACTTCCTCCCTCCAACTCAAAAAATGTGTGTGTTACAAAACCACCAAGAGATCCTTTCAAAAAGCAACTGTGCAGCCTGCCTGTCTTCAGCTTGTTTGTATTGCCTGGGTAAGCAATGCCAAAATGCTGTGTTATTGCTGTGCTCCAGCTGCAACCAGAAAGTGAAATAATTGCTCTCTTTGCAAATGGCTTATTTGCAAAGACAAGACGTGAGTGAGGGGCAATGTGGGGAGGAGGTGATTGCAAAGCACTTTGGATGCAATTTAGTTCACTTTAGGAAGGAAAAAGAGAGAAAGGGAAGCAACTGTGTTATGTCCAAAATGTCTCATACAGAATGATACCAGTTATCTCAAACAGAGTTGAGAGCATTTTGTAATGTCTGTAGGCAACCACATCTCACTGGGCTGAATGCAAAGGCGTCTAGTTGGCCACTGACTGGTTTGGTTTGGGGCTGGGATTTTCCCCCAGTTTGTTTGTTGTTGGGAGATGGGTTTTGTTTGGGGTTGGTTTTGGGGTTTGGGGTTTTTTTTTTAAGGTTTATGGTAAAGGCTTAAAATAAACAAGTCTCTGAATGGAGAAATCAGCTGAAGCCTGATGTGGTCAAACTGAACAGCAACTCAGTGACATGTCTGATGACAGAAGAGACACCACTGCAGCCAACTTCTGGAATCAGACGTTCTAAAGGGAGAGGAAAGGAAAAGAGGGGAAGAAGGAAAAGATTCACTTTTAAGTATGTGTTGCTGAGTACTGCTATTGCCATACGTGTGGGCTGGGGAGGTCGTCTTCAGCCTGTGCTGGAGGGAGAGGGGCAACCGATGTAAATGCATGGTTTATGTTACACGCGTAGTGAGGAGAGAGTGAGAGAACAGGAGCGCACATTACAGCCCATTGTGAAAGCCCTGTGTGTGAATCAGCTCCCAGCTGGACGGTGGGCTGCCGGGGCTTCATGGACATCCAGGGGTAAGATCAGTGCTGCCGGTGTCCACCGGAGCTGGGTGTGACTGGAGCTCCCTGTCGGGAGAGAACAGCAAGTGGGTACCGCAGAAATGATTTTCCTAACCCGGCACTGGGAGATGGAAGGCAGGGGGAAGGGGGAAATAAACTCTGTATGTTTTGATGTCTCTCACCAAAGAAAGCTAAAGCTGCTGTTTGGAAATGGTTGTGTCCAGGAAGAGCGTGAATTCCCCCGCCCCCCCCCAACCCCGGTTCTTGGTGCAAATGGTTGAGTGATGGCTGGACATGTTTTGAATAGCTAAGTGACTTCATTGAGCGATGGTCTATTTGACGCATACTGCATTTAGTGCCCTTTGTCAACCCAAACTGCTGCCTTTTAACATATCCTGCAGAGGAGCTCTATGCTGAATACTATATGCTGTATCCACGCCAGAAAATCAATAGCAGTAAATTAATGGGGGATGTTTTAAACACACTTGCTCACACACACACACAGATTTCCTGCAAATAGATAAATACATGGAGGTATATATTAATAAAAAATGAAAAGCCTTTCACACAGATATTCATTACAACCAGGGAAGGAGACATCTCCTTAATTAAAAATTAATGAGAGAGAAGGGGAAAAAAAAGCCCAAATGCAAAGACATGCAGGGAAGAGAGGCTGCAGGGATGAACTCCCTTCCTGAGCCATGTCCCCAAGCTGGAGGGCGGAGAGAAGCTGGGGTTGAGATAGAAGGTATAAGGACCCCAGCCAGGAGAGGCAGTGAATTCAGATCATGTCTATCTGCCCACAGAGCCATACCCAGAGGGACACGGTCTGAGGGGGAGGAGGAAGGGGCGGGTGAGGTTTGTCAGATTGGAGGAGCTCGGGGCTCCTTCTCCTTTACATCTGACAGGACCCCACAGGCACTGTTGAGAAGTGGCTTGCATGGCAAAAGAATGTGCCAGGATGCTTCCAATTAAAAGCTTTGAAGTGCCCCCAGCCCCCACAATGTTGCGCTGCCAGCCCAGGTCCCCTGCCCTCCCTGCTGATGCTCCCCAGTGGGGCTAAAGCCACAGACCTGCATGAACAGCATGAAATTCAGCCTGAGCACAACCTGCATGGCCCTGGCAGGGTGCTCTCACTCGCCCCACACACGTGAGGGTCGGGCTGGCCCAATCCCCCAGCCCCCGAATGCTGGACAGCAGCAGGAAATGGGGTAGGAGGGTGCAATGCACCACAGGGGAGCTGAGCCCAGAGCTGAGTGCCTCGCCTGAGGGCACAGGTTGCACTAAAACTTGAATAAAGACTTGGTTGCAAGAGCATATGGGCAGAAAGCAAAACCATCCCCATGGGCACACGCTGAGCAGGGCCTGAGCATGGATTTGCCTCGTGAGGTGGCACAGCATAGGTTTGGCACTGCCACTTCTGGGATGCCTCTGCTTGGCTTCCAGCAGCCCCACAGTCTGCATGGGGTGGTGGCTGGTACTCCCTTGGTCCCAGGACAGCGCAGCCAAATATCCCCACCGGGTCTTGGATGGTAGGGCTCTTACTGTCATGTCTGATCAACTTAGTGTTGGGGGGGGTATCTTCTTTCTTGTCAAAAGGAATCAGAACAATGTCCCTGGTTGATTCCCTCTCCCTGGTGAAAGCTTCCTGCTGGTGAACAGGAGGGAGAAGGATGCAGCAAAGGCTCCTCTCCCCCATGATACATAGAGTGGGTAGATTTATGGAGGGAAGAGCTTGGTCTCAGGAGGCTATAAAAAGGGCAAAAACCTTGGGTCTGTGCACAGCCTGCCCACACTGTGGCAGAGGCACCTGATAAAGGATATGGGGCAGACACACTTCACCCTGGGGTAGATGTCAGGGCAGGTCTATAGGGTGAGGGGGGGTAGTGAAGAGGGGGGCAGGAGGCTTTGTAACAAGAAAATAATCAAAGATGGAGTTCAAACTGCCATCTGCTACTGGTAGGAAGCCTCTGATAATGTTGCCTTCATTTCTGGAAATGTGGAGGAGCGCTGGCATTAGTCAACACTGTAGGCTGTCAGAAATGGTGGACACCTCATGTTCAAGTTATCATACTAAATTGTCTTTTCTCTTCTTGGCCAAGAGATCCAGTAGCGAAAATGGATGTGAGTACTTATATTGGGCTGTATGCACAGATACATTGTTGTCAGAATTGCAAGCTCCTCTTGGAGAATTTGGTCCCCAGGCTTTCAATTGTTGGGTTTCCCTCTCTTCAGTCATTCTATTCCCTACAACGGACTTTCAGTCAGCACTTTCAGATCTTTGTATTACTTCAGAGAAGAGTGTAATTTGGGAAGTTCTTCCTCTATTGGGATTTCTTTCCCCCCGTTCTTGTTTGCCCTACAGTGAGCACCTGCTGCATGGTGGGACTCAAGCAGACAGGTGGTGTCAGTCCACATTACTTCAGATCATGCTTCTGATTTTTTCCCTAATTTTCCTCCAGATGATTTTCTCTCAGACTTTGGGGCCACCCAAATATGTATCTGGGCCATTCAAAAGTCTCTGCCCTTCAAGAAAAATGTTTTTTTCTCAGCCCTTTAGCTGTATAGGCACAAAACACCCACGAACAGTGAACAATTGAGATCTGCAAGCTCATGCCCCACATGGATGCTGCGTCTCTTACAATTTTGAAATGGCTGCGGATATTCCAGCCTAATTCCTCCTTGGCACTGAATGTTTTAAAACCACTTTTTATTATGAGTGATGCCTTGTCTCTCTAATTCTTTCATTAGCTCCTGTAGATCTCCTACAGGATCTCAAAAAGTGAGGGACGATGCCTTATCAGGGTCTCATGAAGTAAGCAAATGAAATGTATTTCGTATCTGTAGGTTATTGGTTTTGTCATGTTGTCATTATTATTAAGAAACTGATCGGTCTGGGAGGCTTTTGTACTGAGAAGGCGGGAGAGAAGAGTCCAGGGCAGGCAGGCATGAGTGATGCACATGGGGTTAGACATCCCTGTAGATCTGACTGGTGTGAAGGCAAGTAATTGAATGGATGTTGGTGGAGAAAATAATTCCTGCCTAGAGACCCTTCCCAAGGAGAATTAATGAGCTGATCTGTTCTCTTTCCAGCTTGTTATATCTGAACAGTGCATGAGAGCTAAGTGCAGATTCAGTGTTTGCAAAAATGAAGAGCTGACAGCAAAGTGAGGCAGGGCACAGGCAGTGGACAAGCTTCTGCCAGACGATTCTGGCGCTGCGTTGCTTCCTCTCACTGCCTTCTCCCACTGCTATTTGTTGGTGCACCTCTTTCCTTTTACATCCATTTTATATGGAGTTTTTTTTCTGTTTTCCCTCTTATCTTTCATTATTTTATTTCTTTCAGCTGTTGTTTCCTGTCAGTGTCCCTAGTTTTGCTCACAGTATTGCCTGCCGTCCTACTTCCAAGGATCCACAAATCTACAAAGGGTCTTTTCCTTTCATCCTTGCTGACCTAATCCAGGGCCTTATCTGAAAATTCAGTGGGTGTAGCGGTAGATTAAATCAGGATCTCCATGTCTTCACAGTTCAGGACCAGGAGCATCATAGCCCAGACGTGAGATGCAGCAGGAGGAAATGACCAGGCACAGAGCTGATTGATGCTGGCATTGCATCTGCCAGGGAAAAAAAGGATTCCTAGTTGGACAGGCCTTGGGTAAAGAAGAAGACAAAGGATTTTAAGAAGTGGGGTGGCAGATGGTGAGGAAGAATTACTCAGGATCCCAGACTTGGGTGGGTTTGGTTCTCCTCTCAGCTTAAATTCACACCTGACTGAAGTCACAATGAAGGCAGGGATTTGAGGGGTTG